GCTTAACCAACTGAGCCACCCAGGCGCCCCAGCAAGCAGTATTTTAAATAGCCTCCCTCCCCCCGCCCCCCCTTTATTTTCTTCAGTCTCTGTGAGCAATGATTTGTTTTCTCTTGGGCTGTTTACATTTCAAGGACACGATAAGATTTACAACATCAAGGGAAAGAGAAAGAATGCAAGTTTTCCCCCTACTTTTCTGGGATCATTGCAATTTAAAAGGTTCTTTCCTATTACTGGTCGGAAGGCAGGGCACATTTTATCCATTTTCTCATCAGTTACCATAATATCCTTCTTTTCATTCTTATCACGTTCTCAGAGATGCCATCTCTTAACTCCTACTCAGGCTTTGTCACAAATGCCCAGATCTTAATCCAAAGCATCTGGAGCCCTCCTAGCTTTTTACACAGGGTATGCTAAGACCTCTTTTTTTTTTTTTTTTTTTAAGTAGGCTCCACACGCAGCCGGGAGCCCAGTGCAGGGCTTGAACTCACAACCCTGAGATCAAGACCTGAGCTGAAATCAAGAGTTGATCGCTTAACCGACTGAGCCACCCGGGGGCCCCTAAGACCTCTAACTTACCATCCTGCCCTCCCACCTTGTCTGCCAGCTCTGAAGCCTGCAGACTGGTGGACACCAGCACGTCCTCCCCTGATAGCTGTAGCTTGCTGACTCGAACTTCAGCCTGGAGGGGGGCGTCGGTGGCTCGCAGAACTGCCCGAGGCAGAGGCCAGCCCACTGCGTGGCCTTGCTTCCCTTCTCTGCCGAGGAGAACTGTGTGCACTTCCTCAAACAAGCCCCTTCGAGCAGCTGGTGTTTTCAGGGTGTCCTGTACTCATGCAACAGGCCACAAGCATCTGACATGTGGGCCACCCCTGCCCACACAGAAGTCACCGGCTAACCCAGGATTTCCCTGCCATGGCCTCATTCCCAGGGCCCATTTCTGCCTGGCTGGCCTACCCGTTGCTGGTTTGCAGCCTCCTCTGGAGCTTCTCCAGGGAAATCTGAAACCAGCGTCTGTTGGAGGAGGGCAGGGAGGGACTGAAGAAAAAGGCAGGCCACTCTAGGGTTGGTAGGTGGCAGTTTTAATAAGCAAGGGAATTTACATACAAGACTTGGCTGGGGGGGTGCAGCAAGGCGAGTGGATCCCCACACCCACCCACCCACTGCATCTTAAAAGTTTAGAAAGAAGCCTTAACTGGGTCAGTCATGTATATCGTGCAGATGTTCTCGACACATTCCTATCTCAAGGCTGTGTCCTTGGAGCAGCCTCTGGGAGCAGGGAAAGGCATGCGGAACCCACATTCCAAGGACAGAGGAGGGGGTGAGGAGCCTCCAATCACTTGGGTCGGGCTCACACGTCAACTGGCGATCACATCTTCTTGATGACTTCGCCCAACCCCTACTCAACACTTCCACTCCAATCCCATTCCAGTCCTCATGCTGCAGCTCAGGTACCAAGTCCCCATTTTGCTTGGACAGCCTAGCACTTTGTCAGTGGAAGACCCTCAAAAAAGCCTTTATGCATCCTTAAAAACTCCCAGATGCCAGTGCTACAAATCTGTTTGTCCACATTTTTCTCTCCTGCTCCCATGACGGAGCTTTGGTAACGGTATGACTGATGTGAAAATTTAGGCTCTCCCTTAATAGAATAATACTGGCTGGAAGCAAAGGCACAAAGAAAAGTGTGGCTGCTTCCCCTGCATCCATTCTCCCTTCTCTTGGTAATGACCTACTTTTCATTTGGGTCTTACTCTTACGTCCACTCCAAGCAGCCAATGAGGGAAGTTGGTTCTACTCTTGGTTCGAGAGGTGGGGTAGATGGCTCAGGCCTAAGGAAATAAGCATCGCCTTACATCCTGTGGCCACAGTGCAGACCATGAGGCCTCATTTGAACCACTGAGACCAGAGAAGCCTGTGGTGGTGCCTCTTTGCTTGCACACCTCAGGGGGGATAGATGAGGCAAGAGGGGCTGGAGTTGCATAATTCCCTTTCCCATGTGGGAGGATAGAGCAGGTCAGAGTTGGGTATTTCTGTTTTTTCTGGTTGCTTAGGTAAAACCCAAGGTAGTTAGGAAAATAGTTTCTCCTGAGGACAGGCCTTGGTAAGGCATTTCAAAAATGGTTCCTTTCTCCCTCCCCCTGTGAAAGCATGAGGTGCTTGTATGTTTAATGTTTTGAGGAACCACCAATCTGTTTTCCACAGTGTTCGCATCTGTTACATTTCCGCCAGCAATGTACAAGAATTCCTGTTTCTCCACATCCTTGCCCACATTTGTTATTCTCCTTTTTGCTCAAAGTCATCTTCCTGGGTATGAAGGGGTATCTCATTGTTTTTGTTTTTTTTTAAGATTTTATTTATTTATTTGACAGAGAGAGA